ATATTTCAAGTTTGCATAGTACTAGCCCCTAAACCCTCCAACCTTAAACCCTAAAACCCTAAACCCTAAAACCCTTAAACCCTAAACTCTAAACCCTCATGTTAGAGGACCCCAGCTGCCTCTATGCGCGCCTTCGGAGCTTCTGGCTGGGCCTCGCCAGGGCACGGGATGCGCCCAGCCTTGAGATACGTTGAGATGGGAGTTTCCCAAAATTAGGTCTCTGGGCCAGGCTGATTCCCACATGGTGGTTTCCCAAAAAGTAGATTTTATATTGGGATAATGGAGAATCAAATGGAAAAGAAAATGGAAAATGAAATGGAAACTGGGATTATATAGGGGTTTATAGGGATTAGGGTTTCCCAAAATTAGGGGTACCTGTTTGGGGGTCCCCATAATAAGGATTATAGTATTTTGGGGTCTATGTTGGGGTCCCCGCATGTTGGGAAACTACCAGATTTGTCTGGGGCTTGGGGCCAGGAATTTCTCCTAAATCAGCATGCGACAAGGTCACTAAACATTCCAACTCTAATTGAGACCTGACAGCCAAACTTGTTGGTGGTAGTCGCCGCAGTGCCACGGACACAGGCCCAAAAAGTCTTCGCCAAACAAGGGGATTGGGCCATCTTTAGGCGATCCCCGGTCGTCTGTCCCTAAACTCTAAACCTGTGAGGTATGGAGAGCCCGGCCCAGATCCCACAAATGGGCGGAGGAAGCAGCTCAGTCTTCGCATACGAGTTGCTGTCTCAATATGAGCTGTAGTCTACTCCTTAAATGGGGTCATGTAGGGGATTGTATAGCAGAGTACATACGGCTATTACGGGGGACTGACAGTACGGGGCTTCCAAAGGGCCGTTAAGAGGGGAAGTAGGGTCTCTTGGGTAGTTTGGTACAGTATTCTTTAACATGAACCCATGTCCATGAATTATACGGGAAATATTGTTGCTCGTTTGAGAAGTTGGTTTGCGGACTCTCTGAAGGGTTGCAGTGATGTATAAGGACTAAGGATGCAGGCATTTCCATCTTCGGGGTTTGGTGAGCTCTCAGTAGCTCCTATGCAGTGCTCCTTTTATCAGAGATCCGATTGTTTCGGGGGGGCCTTGCATGAGGATTTCTGAGACCGCCGTGTAGCAGGTAGTGAAAGTGCGATCTCGCATGTGCGTTTAAAAGTCTAACGCCGTTCATGTTAGCGGGTTTTTCATGCGAAGTTTTTGAAACTCGACAGGCATTTGTGTCCCGGCTTTGTAGTTACTTTGGGCCGGAATCGTTTCCTAATTGCGCTTCGTAGCCGCAGAACGTACCATTAAGACCTTAGGACCCTTGGGGAGGCCAGCAGTGCGACTTGCAGTGCAAGCTTCATCTAGCCTACAATGTACCTTCAGGGCCTATAGGGTTCTAATCCTGGGTTTAAGGATCCTTTTCAGGAACCCCATGTGATTACATTGCTTCATATAAGGGTTGTGTTGGTGCCATATTGGGCAAACCTTTTAGGGGTATGTTCTTAGGGTTGCAACCCTGGAAATATTGATATGTGCGCGTTGTGAGGTGGCACGCTTCTGATGGGGACTACAACAAAGAGAAAGACTATCCGCCTCTTGGCGCACACAATGACAAAGAGTACGATGAGAAGCATGGCCGATGGTGGTTTCAGCGGAAGGACGGCTTCAGCTTGTCCAGAACCACGGTTGATGGACAGAGCTTAAAATCATGCATTATCCTACTAAAACCCCCAGACTTCTGTTACCATGAATGCCAACGGTCGTGCAGTTTGAAGGTTTGTGTCTATGAACAGTGGTGCCTATGGCTGAAACTAAGAATCCTGTGAAAAGCTTCATGAGGGCCTCAGGCCGGGCTTTATGTACAAGGTTCAGACTGTATTGGGTTTGGACAGGGGGGTTCTTTGGAGTCTCAACCTGTACCTCCACCTTAAACCCTCAACCACCCCCACCCCCAGGTGCCAATGCGTGCCTGACAGGAGGAGTGGCGCCCAAAGCTGTACACCACCATAGGCCAGGGGCTCTTGAGGTTTTGGATGCTTGGGTTTATGAAGTTTGGGGCTTGGGGTATAGGGCTTAGGGCTGCAGAAACAGGGTTTAGGGTTTGTGTTGCTTGAACTTCAACCTTTTGAAACATTTGGCTTGGATCGTTTTTCAGGGAAAGTGTCCCTTTGTTAGCGCTTTCTTTGGTGTTGCAAAAAGGTTGTTGCTGCACAGCCAAGCTGGCTGACAGGTGCCTTAGCAGGCCTGGGGCTTCCGTGCTAGGATCCTAAACCCAAACCCTTCAATGCGGTTTAGGGTTTAGGAAACCCTTAAGCAAGGTTTTGTGTTTGTTTTGGGGCTGCAAGCTTGAGGGGTTTAGTAGTGTTTAGGTTTTGTTTGTGGCTTCTCTGGCGGCAGCTTCAGCATTCTCAGAGTTGATGTGGCCATTTCTCCACGTTGCGGATCCACTTTCAATGATGGCCATGTTGGGAAACCCTACGCCAATCAAAATATTGCGTGAAGGAAGGTGGTGGAGGCTTTAAAGGATTTCAATCAACATATTGCATCGTCACGAAGTTGTCCTTGCCACATGCCCTTTAGGAGAGTGCGGGATGTCGCCCGGGTGCAAACCTGCTTGGCCAGCGGTTTGCGGTTTGCACTAGGCATCCTATGACTTAGGGTCCAAGTACAAAATAAGTGGGTACTTGTGCTTTGGGTAATAGTAGTTGTAGTGCAGGTTGGGCAAGTATATGATTATTTTATTGGACCCATAGGGTATGGTCTACTACACAGTTTGGGTTAAAAGAAACAACCTTACGCGGAGGTCCTTACGAGAGAAGGGTCCTAGTATTCTGGTACAGCCCAAATGTGGGTCTCCAAAATTGCAGTCCCTGATATACACCCCGCAACTACTAGCCCTGACATAGGGACCCCGAGAAGGACAAAACCGAATGGATGTTTGCTCCCAGACGACAAGAGCTAGTATCACCCAGGTAACTGCACGAAATGAGGGCTTTGATCCCCACAGTCTAAACTTTCATCCAATCATTACTCCCGGCTCAAACTTAGATGGTGGTTTCCAGAAATTAGGTGCCCCTTTCTGTTGGCACTTTTCCGAAGGACTGCAGTCCCTCGGGGTCCACATATGGGGATTGCGACTCATGCCAAACCCCTTCAATTCCCCAGAACAGCCAAGAAGGGGCCTCAATTCTGATAGCCCCCTCATACATCGCCCAAGCCAACAAGGAACCTTACGAGGGGCCTCAGAAAGATTTGCCTTTTCTCAACAAGCATGCTGGAGGTTGGGTTCCATGTGTGTTTGGAGGAAGGTACAGCTCCCTAAAGCGTATATGGGGGGTTTCCCTAAATTAGGGGTACCATTTTGGGGGTCCCAATAACAAGGACTATAGTATTCAGGGTCTATAGTGGGGTACCCTTCCATATGAAGCCTCGCTAGGCGCCCACGCGCGCAGCCCCAAGCTTAAGCGGACGATCCTGAGGCTCTTTGTTGCTTTGGCTTGTCCAGAGGGTCCACATATACAACCATTAGGGAATTGGGACCCATAATTCCTCCTATAGTATGGTATTTTGGGGCCTAATTCCCTACTAGTTGTATATATGGACCCTCTGGGTTGTCCAGGGTTCGTAGGCTTTACAGTTTGGGGTTCAGGTTGCCCAGGGGGGCCAAGTATTTGAAAATTAGTAGGTACTTGGGTTTTGGGTAATAGTAATTATAGTACAGGTGAAGTAGATGATTATTCGGTACCTGGACCCTAAGGGTTGTATAGGAAGAAGAATTTGGAAACCCAAACCCAGATAATCAGGACCCTACAGCCATCACATGGTTGTCGTAACTTTGAGGGTCAGGGTTACCAAAGCCCTCTTCTTACCAACGTCCTATTATTACACCCCCACAAGGGATCCAATCATATAGGTAATATGATACCTACATTGAGCCCTAAAGTCTGTAAGTATTACCTTCATTGGGCTATTTGGATCCTGAGGGTTAAGTGTATTGCTCGGCTTGGAGAGGTTGGGATTGTGGTGGACGTTATGGGCTTTGCCATTATCGCTTTGACAGCTTTGTAAGCGCTACCTGAAGGAGTGCTACGACCATGCAGTTGAGTTCCCAGAACGCTGTGAAGCCCGCACAAAGATCGTGCGCGCAATTTTGAGAAGGCTCGCAGGTTCTGGGCTAGAGCACTTGCAAAGCGCAATTTGTGCCTTGTCCTTTTGAAAGCTAGACCCCGCACCCCACCTGTGAAAGGTTAAGGCGGCAAAGCGCAGCATACAGCTGACGTAGGGTTTCAAGTTCAGAGGTGAATACCTCCAGATGCAGCTTCCCTGTATTCCGACTTGGCCAGCGGCCTTTGAAAGAGTCATTGATGGTACTACTTGTTTGTTCAGTGTCCGAATCTAGACTGGTAACCTTTCGGCCTCAGGACTACCTTCTTGCCATAGCGCAGACTTTTCTACTTGGTGCATCTTAGTGCTCAGTACGGAAAACGGGGAAGGATGACAAAAAGTAGTCTCCGTACAATCCCCCATTATGAATTCATGCTCCCATTCCCTCTGAAGCACCAGGGATTTTTTTGTGACAGGAAAATGTACAACACACCCAACTTCCGTGCTCTGAAGAATGACGTTCATCGCATCGGGGCTGACATTGGCAAGTCCGGTTTGATATGGTTCTGGGCGTTTGCGGGAACTTTACATGGTGTCATCCCTGGAAAGCGTACCGTACATGCGGATGTCCAATAAAAAGTGGTGTTCTCAGGTGATTCCATGCGTTGGGATGGAGATTGCGCGGCTTAGTCATAATCCTTTTGTACGATTATTAAACACACCCCAACCCCTGATAGTAAATGTTCCCATACGACACTTTTCCATATTTGGGTGGGCATATTGAATACTAGGGGTGGGGGTCAATATTAGTAGCAAAGGATCAGTTTGAGCTCGGCTGTTAAGATGTAGTACAACTTGAGCTTCTGTAGAATTATGCCCTGAACCTATAGGACTACGCTTCCCAAAAAAGGCCTAATACGTCACAGTACTCCCCAAGAAACCCTGATACGGCCTGAAGTTTGTGGAGCCCGTTGTCTACCAGGTTTGGAGCCAGACTCTGAGAAAAATATGACCTTACAGGCAATTTTCTTTAAGAGAGCAGTGCATCATGGGCTCAATTTAGGGTTTAGGGGTTTAGGGTTTAGGGTCAGGATTCTGGAATGGTATTGTAATAAGTTTGCCAGAAAATCCGGCAAGAGTTTCCTTGCTCCCGGCAGCAGATGTCACAGGCCCCGCCTGCAAAAATCACTAGCCACTCAGGGCCTTCACGGTGGTAGTTTCCCAAGAAAGGGAACCCAATATACACCCCTACATAATATAGTGCTTATTATCGGGACCCCCAGAGAGGTACCACTAACTTTGGGAACCCCCTGGCGGGTGAAGACACACCCGTCAGTTCCAAACAGTGTGCCCCTTTCAGTCTTCTGTTTGGGCGCAATCCTGATGGGGCGGGGTGGGGGGGTAGGTGGGAAAAGGGTAATGTAGTAGTTCCTGCGTAATCCACATATTAACTCGTCCTACAGGAATAGTAAGAGTCCACACGGCAGTTTCCCAAAAAAAGGGGCCCCCTTCTACACTCCCAAAATCCCACGATGACCAGTGGCTGCGTAAGGCAAGAGATGGCCAAAGACCAGGGGACTGAAGTTCAGCTTCTTCGCGGAGTTCTGTGAAAAGGCCTTCACGTTGGGCCGCCTAGGGCTTACAGGGCTTTTTCACTTCTACTCCTTTTTGTGTCGTTGAAAACCTAGTAAGGAGCATAGAAGCATGTTTTACTAAGATCCCAATGAGGGATCAGTTCGGATTGAGGGTATCGGGCCACGCCGGGCAGCAGGCGCGTCAAAGTCAAAGGCACGCCTTCGAACGGTTGACTTGGGATTTGGGGCCTCTGCATCCTGAGCTAAAGCCTTCTGAACATGGGAGGTGTAGGGTTTAAGGGTTTAGGGTTTAGGGGTTTGGGGTTTAGAGTTTAGCCTTTGTAAGGGATATATAATGCCAACAATGGAGAATCAAATGGAGAAGGACGTGGACAATGGACTGGAAATCAGGATTGTGTGGTGTTTATAGGGATTAGGTATGACAAGGTATGAGCTACTGTCATTACTAGCCTCATTCAGGGACCCTTAACAGTGGACACAGGGGTCCCTCTTGTAGGTAAGTATAGTCCCAAATATCGTCCCTAACAAGGAACATTAATTTTCTGGGGAAAATTATTGACTGTAGCAAATGTTTCAGGCGCCTCTCACTGCAAGCGCGCGGAATAAAGTCATTGATGTTTCGCAATTAGCACATCCCCTAAAGCTTAGTAACTTAGCGGGTTGTCTGTAAATGAGGTCACCATACTGTGCCCAATGCCACATCGGCATTATTTGAGGATTTCCCAACATAGGGCGCCCCAACACAGACACCAAACTATTATAGTCCTCATTATGGGGACCCCCCCAAAAGGTACCCCTAATCTTGGGAAACCCCCGTTTCATCCAAAGAAATCAACAGCAGACCCGGGGTTGCAAAGTGCTTGCTTGGCTCCACAAGCGAGGACTTCAAGAAGCGAACTCTGCTGGAGACTGCGCACACCCTGCCTTTGCTGCTTGGCTTGTAGGGATCGGATTGGGGCATGCGAAGCCACAAAGAAAATGGATTTTTTTCCTTCGAGCATCCCCACCCTAAAGCCGTTATTGCACAGTAAGTGTAACGTTTCCCTGCCCCCCCTCAACTGTCTTCCTTGCAGCACTGCAAATG